GAGGGGCTTCTCTTCCCTCACCAACCCCCCCCCAGGAGGAGCTGGTGCTCGTGGGGCCGTCGGTTGGGGTTTCTGGCGTCTTGCAGGCGGGCAGTGCCGGGCGCCATAGCAGCTCTGAGCTGCAGTGGGGCTGCGGGCTCGGTGGAGAGCTGAGTTCAAGCTGTATGCCCTGAAAAATGTCACTTCCTACACGGGGAGGGGGTTGGGAGGCGCTCCTTGTCTTTTGCCTCCCTCGCTGACAGGTCGCTGGCTCGCTGGAAGACCAGGCCGTTGTGCAGTGCCAGGGATGGTGCTGGTTTTGGCCAGGGTACCAGCCAGGGCTGCTCCGAGGGTTGGTGTTGACTGCGTTTGTCTTTGACATCTAATTCAGATGTGTTTATGGTTGCAGTGTGTCACCTAGGCGTGTTTTAAAGGTTTGTTTTAGCCATCTGGACTTGATTGGTGTTTTCTTCCTGTAAGTGGGTAAAACTGGCAGCTGGTGACAACAGGGTTGTCAGCCAGGTAGCTGTGAACGTAGCAACTGGCATTGTCAAAACTTGTGCCTCATTAAGAATTGCAAAGTGGTCAGGATTCTTGTTGCCCTGTCTGTGGGGGTAGTGCAACTGATGGAGCCACAGCAGCTTTGCTCTTTTGACATGGGGAGGACAAGGCCTGAGCCAGGAGGCCATGTTAGATGACAACTGGAAGTAATTCAGTCTGGCCATCTGTGATTGCCTTTGTCTCCTGTTCATCTGTGTTTCTTCTGTCCTAGGAATGGAGGTGCTAGTTGTCTATTCAGAATAAAGTGTTAAATCACAGTCCCTCAAATGACCTTTCTTTTTGGAAGGTTATTTAAAACCCAAGTCAAGCTTCTCATGTTGCTGATCAGAGTATCTCAGTGAAGCACTTAAAGCTGCTCCCTTTCAGTTAGCAAAAGAGTCTTTTTGCAAAACCAACTTTAGATAGCAAGTCTTTGTATTCAGTTAGCTATACCTGGAGAGTGTTGTATTGTGAATTGTTCCTTCTTGTTAGTGTAGTGTTATAGGGAAGGCAATACAGGCAAATATATCTTTGAAATGGGTCTTAGGGGTATATGTAAGACTTGAATCAGTATTTTGGTACCTGTAGAAAAGAGAAAAGACGATGTTTAAGCTACTGGCTTGTACACTTCAGTAACAATGAGGAAAAGGATTTTTAAGTCTTGGCAAGGAATAAAAACTACTGTCATGCAAGATAAAACATGTTTGCAGCTTAGTAACATGTTCTAAGCAGAAATTTTAATAATTAGATTTGCATACTTTGAACTTGGTTATTCATGACCTGCAACTGATGCCCTTGGTTCCTTATATACCCTGCTTTGGGGTTATTTGTTTGGCTGAAAATGAAGGCCAGTTTTGGAAGCTTGTTGTGTTTTCACTATTAAATAAAAATGTTCTGGAAGTGCTTGACTGTCTGCAGTATTTAGAATAGAAACCATAGGTCCTCTACTGAAAGGACAATAGCAAACAGAACTGGAGCCCACATGAATGTCCTAGGGATTTTCCTAATGAGTGCATCTGCTTTTCTTACTTTCCTGTAAAGCATCTGAAAGGCTGGTGTTAAGTGCAAGGTGAAGTTGACCGCTAATCCTGATGTAAAAGTTCCTTCTGGTTAAAGTGCAGCTGTAGTACTAAAATACAGATCTACATCTTAGGAACATAGACAACCAGACATCTTAATTACAGTCTTTTCAACAGCTCAGCTGTCTGTTACCCTGCAAGCTTCAAAGTTAATGCAGCCTATTGATGTTGGGATCCAGCCCTGCTTCTGGCTCCTGAGAACTTGTACAGTAGATGAATATGTATAGCTGCAGTTAAGGTGTGTATAATCTGTTTTAAGATAATTTGACTGCTCACAGCTTTTAAAAGTCATCTATGGGCTTGTGTATTTTAGCCCTCTCTTTCCTCTGCCCACCTTCTGTGGTCAGCTGAGATTCCATCCTGTCATTAGGCTTTATTGTATGAATTGCAATGATCCCAGCTTCTAGCCTGTAAGGAGGAATTGTAGGGGGATGTAGTTATCCTTGGTTTTGAGGTTTTGTTCCTGAGGAAAGAACTTTTTTTTCTTTTTTCCTCTTGTAGAAAATGAAGGTGCTGTCAAATTAAATGGAAGTGAAATTTCTTTCTGGTACTCCCAGTAGCAAGAAGTTCTGTTTATATTAGTTAATGTATGTGGACTTCTGCCTTGGGCTCCCCATTATGCTAAATGCAGGTGAACCCCCCCCTATTT